GTTTCAGTCGCTCTCCTCAGTTGTACGCTGGGAGAGACTGTATGCACTAACATGCATGTGCAGCCAGACTGGATTTGTAAACAAAGGCTGTGATAGCAACACAGGCAAAGTTAGTGTGACATCATTCTGATATCACAAAATTCAAATGCGACGACATTTGTGGCGTTGTTTGCTTATATTGTGTGTTAGCTGCTCAGTCTGATTATCAGGCTAATGAGGAGACTAAATACTAAGTAATTAGCGTAAAAAGCTTAATCTAGAATTTATCATCAATTTACCTAGTTACCACTTTAAAAGAGCTTTATTTAATGTGTCTTTGCTTGTCGATTAAGGATCATGAGAAATAATGTATTTATCATTATCATTCACCCTGTTTTAATTAGGATGGCTGCCTCTAAATGAGGAGGTAGTGATAAAAATATTATGCTCCCACAGTTCATCTAAAGTGTTGGTTCGTTTCCAACTTACTGATCGTCCACCTGTTTGTTTATTTTTAATAATGTCAATTATTGTAATTAATAATTTGGTGAGTGCAGTGTTATTATTACTGATAGAAATTAGAAACTGTAACAAATCAGAATTATCCTTTGAAGTAAAAACTGTTTAAATTGGTAGAAATTAGAATAGAAGAAAATTACTAAAAATATATATTCATGTGTCTAAAATTTTAGCAAAGGGTTATTTTTTTGTTTTTCGAACATGATCTTAAATCTCTGTAACAGACCTTTTGTTGTTGTTTTTATTTTTATTTTTTTGTGGGAAATGATCCAAACTGATCGTCCAGCTCTGCTTCAGTGTCACCTGATAACTTGAATATCAGTGAAACCAAGAGAAAAAGTTGTGTTGGTGCATCTTCAGTGTGTTTCGGTACTTTCCTATAAACAAATCCTATTTTATTTAATTGTTGTTTATTTCTTAGTTTAGCAATAATGTTTTATACATTTCAAATTAATTTGAACTGCTGAGAGCTTAAAGCTGTGTGTGTGTGTGTGTGAGAGAGAGAGAGAGAGAGAGTGTGAGAGTGTATGTGTGC